AGGGCCGGTCCCGGCGCCGGCGCCGCCCCGCCCCGGGGCTCCTCGCGCACCCGCAGTGCCGGGGCGCTGCTGGGCACCCATCCCGGCCGGACCGTCTCCACGGCCCCAGCACCCATCCCGCCAGGCACCTCAGGCACTCGTCATCCACCCAAGGTACCCCCTGCAGGACTGCGCACCCACCTCTCCCGACACCCATCCCGCCAGGCACCCATCCCGCCAGTCCCCACCTCACCACCAGGCTCCCACGGCACCAACCTCAGGGGACCCAGCTCCTATCCCGGTGACTTCCCGTCTCATCTTGCACCCCTCCCATGGCCTCCTATCCTACCGGGCACCCTCTTCCCCAGGATGCTCATTTAACCACTGCACACCAACCCCCTTGGTGCACCCACCCCATGGGGAGCACCCACCTCCCCAGGTGCCCTCCCTGCTGGGCACCCACCACCCTTGCAACCCTCCTGGTACCGGATCCATCCACCCCTGTGCAGGCTCCAACTCTCCTTCCCGCGCTTAAGAAGCGAACGCTTCGGAATAAAATCAGAGGCAAGATCATTTATTACTGCAAGCAATTTTAATACAAAAATGTGTCTGTTTTTTTTTTCTCTTTTTTTTTTTAATGTTATTTTAAACAATTCATTGGTAGAGCTTCAGTTTTGCCTCAATTTAAACCAATTGAGAGAATCACACAGCAACATGGTCGGAGCCGAAGAGGAACGACGAACATCGGCGCTGGGCAGCGCCCGCTTTCCTGCCCCTCTCCCGGTCACTTGGTCGGTTGGAGTTTATTACAAAGGAAAAACTCAGCGTACAAAAGCGGGACAGGACTTGCAGCAAAGGTGCTGGTGAGACTCGTTTCAAGGACAAGCGACTGTGCGTGTAAGTCCAGATTTCTCCTAGGAGCAGAGGTCACCTCAATCTCAGCCTGGTTGGACATGGAATGACCAGTAAAATTAATAAATAGGAAAAAAAATCAAAAGGAAAAAGAGATGCAGCTCAAGCGCCAAGGAATTCCTGACTTGCGTGGGGTCTCCGTCCACGAGGAGCCTCCAAAGCGGAGGCTGGGATGCGAGCGGATGCAGTTGGGTGATCCCGACCTGCTGGTGGCCGAGGGGGGGCCCGGCCGGGCAGCCTCGGGGTGACCCCCGTCCCCAAACCAGCCTCCTTTCTGCCGGTGCTTTAAAAACGCCGCCGCCGGCGGCACCGCGGTGCAGAACCGCGCTGTAGTGTGTGCAAAGGCTGTTTTAGTTCAAGCGCCCCTTTCCTCAGGTAAAATCACGTAATTTTAAGAAAAAAAAAAAAAAAAGAAAAGAAAAAGAAACGTAAGCCCCAAGTCCCCTCACCTCATGTGTCTCTGTTTGAGGTATCTGTGATTTACAAAAAAAGAGAGTTCCTTGAACACTGCAGGATTCAGGTCTTTGCTTTTAAATATAATTTACCTTGCTGAGACAGCAAGTTAAGTTTATAAAGATGCATTTAGGAAACAATCCTAAAAGATAAAGCAGGTTCACACCCTGCACCGCGCAGAAATCCTATTTATAGTTAGTTTTTCTTTACACTTTCACATCTTGACCTTTTTTTTTTGTTTCCTTTTTTTTTTCTTTTTTCTTTTTTTTTTCTCTCTCTCTTCTTTCCCACGTTGCATTTTTTTTTTCCAGGCCCCTCTTCAAACAGGGTCTGGCAAGAGGCAATTTTTATCTACATAAATATTCACAAGAAAATAGTAACTTACAAAAAAAGGAGAAAAAAAAAAAAAGAAAAAGAACAAATAAGGCAGCTTCATAACACAATTATTCTTTTACACTTTTAACAATATAATTTCTCCTGTTTAGAATAAATATACATCCAACGTACGTAGCAGAGTTAAAAATCGAACACAGGTTGGATTTATTGTTGTCGGTGGTGGTGCCGGTTTCCTTCTCGGAGGAGGGCGTGGGGACAATATTATCTCTTGGGGCCCGGTGTTTTCGGGGTGGCAGTGGCGCTTTTCTTGGACATGGTGGGGATCTTGGAGGGCTTGGGCAGCGCGCGGCGCTGGCCGCCGGCCGCGCTGCTCTCCGACGTGTCCGAACAGGCCGACTGCGTCTCCAGCAGGTCGAAGTCGGAGGCGTCGCTGCCGCGGCGGCTGCTGGCCCGGCTTCCCGCCCGGCTTCCCGCCCGGCTCCCGGCGCGGCTCGCCGCTTTCTTGGAATCTGCGGGCGCCAAGCGTGCGGCAGCATGAGGAGCTTCCCTCCCCATCCCCGCGGTGCTTCCCACCCCCAAATTTGGGATATCCGCCCCCCAGCGCTTCGCATTCCTCCTCCTCGGCTAAACCCACGCGGGAGCTGCATCGATCCCTGTTTTTATTGTTCCCTCCCGGAATGGCTGACCTGGACGGCTGGTCTTGGCGCCGGCGGCGCCGGGCGAGGAGCTGGCGCTGAGGTCGCCCGTGAGCGACGTGCGGCTCGAGTGGAACGTGGGTCTCTTGAGCTTGCTGCTCGCCGGCGGCGTCACCTGCGGACACGGAGCGGCGCTGAGCACCGGGCGGGCCCGGCACGGAAGCCAAGCCGGGAAGCCACCCGGAGCCGGGAAGCAGCCCGGCTCCTCCACATCCCACTGGCGGCCGCGCGCCTCTTTCCCGGGGGGGGCGTTTTGGGAAAAACAAGCGAGGCCACATCCGTGGGGACGGCCACGGCACTGCCGGGGTCTGCACCATCGTGGAGAAAGGAAAATCTTCCCAAAAGGCACATTTGGAAGCGGGTGCCACGTTATTGCAGGGAATGGGGCCTTTCCCGGGAGAGGTTTCCCTCTGCTCCCGGCCATCTGGAGGCTCTGGAGAACTCGAGCAGCTCCCAAATCTCCTGAAACTCAAGCAGCACCGGGGCGCCACTTTCCATATCAGAGATTTCCATTCTGGTCCTCGATCCTATTTTATCAGCAAGTTAGAGCACCAAGCAGCTAATTTAGGGCAAGGTCGAAAGCGCTCGCGATCCCTGGATGATTAAACCCCAATCTTCGTTTCTTGGAAGCGTTTTCAAGCCAGACCGCGCGATTTTGAGAGCGCAAACCAGCGTGGAGGCGAAGCCCCAGGGTCCACCCGGTGTCCCTGGCACCAGTGGCTCCGCGACGGGTGAAGCGCCGCGCGCTGGAGCCGGTTTTCAAGCCCTAACTCGGCTTCCACGCTTTGGACACCAAGCGCAGCCCTTTTGGGGTGCTTATAATCACTTTAAGCTTGGAAATTCCCATTTTTTTTTAAGCCCAACACAACAAATCTCTCTCCTTCTGTTTGCCAATCGGTAGCAACAAATGGCAAGCAGGCAATTCTGCCCTGCTCTTTCTCCCAAGGTTGATATTTTGCTCAAGCCGAGTTAGGAGCCCCTGAAAAAGGCCACCAGGTTCAGCAGAAGCGGCTGCCAAGCTGGGCATTAGAGGGGAAAGGAAGGGGGACAGGACTTCTCTTTGGCGGCTGCGCTCCGGCTTCCCGACAGTTTTCCTGGGGGCTACAGACCATACTCTACCTCGGCGCTGGGGAGCTGGAGGTCGGGGTAATCGTATCCCCTCAGAGGGGTGCCCGCTTTACTGTTTATCAACCAGGGTTTGTCATAACATCGAGAGAAGTGATGTGGAGTCTGTGAAATGGAAAATTCAAAGGGGAGGGGGAAGGGGGAAAAGGGGGGAAGAGGCGGGAATGAGTGAAAAAAAAAATGGAACGGGAAAAGATCTGGAAGGAGGCAAAAATAAACAGCACCAAAACGAAAACGGAAGAACCAAAATATATAAATTCCAAAAGGAAAAAAAATAAAGGTAAACTAAAGCATGCATGGGCGAATGATGTGGTAGGAAAGGAGAGGCGAGTGGGATCACTTCTTTCTCGGTGCTGGCCCCACGGCTCCGGGCAGGGGACACGGAGCTCGGGGACACCCTGGAGCCCCTCGCCGTGGGGAGGAAGGAGACGGCGCTGCATCCTGGACACGAGCGAAGCCTCCTGCCCCATCCCGCCCGGTACGGGGCTCCGGCACTGCCAACAGCCTGTGCCTGAGCCCAGCATTCCCTCTCCTCCTCCGGGAGCTCCTTGGCTCACCGGGATGGGGTTGGAGGTGTGTGAAGGCAAGCGACAAGCAAGCGGAGAGCGGCGGGAAGCAGAGCGCCTACCTTGGCACCGCTGGCCAGCGGGGCTGGAGATGAGGGCATGGATGCACAGCTGTGGTTGCTCTGGCTGGCGCTGGAGCTGGAGCGCGTCGGCGAGGCTGCCCGCGAGGACGGTTTCGATCTCCGGCCTCGCGAGCGGAACGGCGTCATCCCCTGGGAAGCCCCTTCCGGCAGGATGAACTTCTCCCGAAGCTCGAGGTTGGTTCGGCCTCGTGCTGCGGAGGAGCAAAAGGGTCCACTGAGACCTTCCCATCCTTTCGTGGCCATCACGGAGCCTCCGGAGGCCAGGGAGGCCGGACTGCGCATCCTGGCTCGGAAAGGCCGCCCGAGGGCGAGCGGGTCCCCTCGGGGGCCCTCCTGCCACCACAGCGGGTCCGTCCCAGCTCCTGCTCCGTCACGGATGAGCTCTTTGAGGAGCTGCCCCTTAGCAGCTGCCCAAGCCCCATGAGTTCATCCCGGGTGCTCTGTTATTCCCTAGGGCCCTTTGGGAAGGGACCTGCTGCACTGAGCATGGCATGCGATAACAGTGCCTGGTGAACTGTTTAAAGTGGCTTAAAACTGCAAAAGAACAGGTTTGAAAAGCAGTGGTTTTGGTCTGATCCGAAGGCAAGACCAGCCCTGCTAAAGGCCAAGCGCAAAGTGTCCCTGCTGACGTCCCAAGAGCTGGCGTGTCCCTTGGACAAGCGAGGGGACCAAGCAGAGAGAAGGTTGGCATGTCCAACATCAGGTGCCCCAGGTTTTCCGAGGCGCAGGGGGTAACAGAGCAGGGGCAGAAAACCTGCCGGTCACGGGAGCGACTTGAGAGCAGAGGCCGGTGGAGCATCGGCAAGGCAGGCGCTCAGCGCTGAGCGAGGCAGCGCTGGAAGGGGCCCGGGCGGCAGTGCCCGGAGCGCCCGCTGCGAGGGAGCCGGGAGCAGCTCCGGGATAACGGCACACACGGGCTGGGACACGGGCGCATCTCAGCAAGAGCCATTAGCAAGGACGGTTAGGCAAGAAAACACACCCAGAGTTAACAGCACGTCCAAAGCGGTTAATATCTCCACGACCCCCGTGGGACAGGGACAGGATAGCAGGTCTAACTGCCTCAAACCCGGCAGCGACCGCAGCAAGAGCTGCTGCGTCCTCCTCTCTGCCCAGAGCACAGGGCAGCGGCAGCAGCGGGACCTGCATCCAGCTGCACGCTTGGTTTTACCCCTTCCTTAAACCGAGCCTAAAGACACCGCAGCTCTTGGACTTCGGGCTTCCTGCCCTGATCCTTAATGTCCAAGCTGAAAGTTGTCTCAAGTTCCCGGGGACAAACACGGCATCAACGGGGACTTGGATGCTGCTTGTGGCAGCGAGCAGGGAATGGCGGGACTTCCTGGATGCCGATCCAAGCACATCCCGGGGCCGCACGCTCGGGAGCGCGAGGCCAGGGAGCGGTGCCGGAGGGCAGGGAAGCTGCTCCAGGTCCCCTGCCAACTCCACGAGTTGTGGGAGCAGCGTTAGAAAAGGAAGAGAGGAGAGAGAAGTTGGAGAGGGAGGAGAACTGCCCGGAGAACCCACCACGAGGGGCTCAAGAGTGAGGACATGAACCCCTCATGGCCTTTGGTACTGGGGCTGTGGGTCCAGCCTTTGCCACTGAATATGTCCCATCACTCTGGCTCCCGGGAGAATACACTTCAACTCCCGCTGGGAAGGATGGTGGCTCCATGGGAGCCAGCTGGGCATGTCACAGCCCCAGGCTACACAAATCCTCACTGCCTCCCCCGAGTGCCTTAACCCCAATCCGCTTGCTAAGCTGGAGTGGGAAGGCCAGGCAGCTTCTCCAAGAGGCTCTGGCAGCTTCTCCAAGAGGCTCTGGCTCTCTGGAGGATGGAGCCAGCCCCAGGAGGAGTCTTGGCCTTCACTGGCCACGCATGGAGAGCCTGAACTAGGTGCTTAAACAAACACAGGCTTCACTTCATTGCAGCTCCCTCCCTGGGCACCACGGACTGAGCACATCCTGGGGGGGCTGCCATCCCAGGCGCATTCCAGCTGTTTGGTTAGGAGGTTACGGAAAGCCATGCGGAGAAGAGGGAGGGCGCCCGCGGTGCCGCGGCCTTGGGCGAGCTCGCCGCGCTTTGGGAAGCACCAAGGAGCCCCAAGGGGTTGGCAAAGCTGCGCACACCGGCATGGGGAGGAAGCAGAAAACCGCCAACCTAGGGGAGCCTGGCTGGCAATCGAGGAGCTGGAATCAGAGCGCTTTATTTTACCTCCGGGGTGGTGAACTAGAATAGAGAAAATACAGAAGAGACAAGGACACGAGAAGAGCAGGACAACGAATGCAGCCGAGGGGCCAGGGGGAGCCAGGAGGGCCATGCCCTGCAGAGAAGGCACACACAGAGCCCTGCGAACACAAGATCTGGGTGCCTTCTCCTCTCCAATGTGCTGCTGCATCCTCCTTGAGCTGGCTTCGCCTACAACTGTGCTGGGGTCCAAAATTCCCCCAAGGGAGCCAACCCAGCCCTGAAAAGCCCCAGGAACATCCACGTCGAAAGGCAGCCTCCTTAAAAACCCAACCTGGCACGTGGCTACCCAGGGGAAAAAAAAAGAGACAGAGTGGGGAGAAAAAGGGCAGAAAAAGGCAGGCATTTTTAAGGCACTAGAGGAAGACACAGGGCTGTCAGTAGAACTCCCTGCAAACGGCTTTTTATGTTGCTCAGCATTGCAAAAATAGTGTCTCATGCTGCAACTCAAAAGGCAGCAGAAGACTATTGGAGAAAATTTCTTTCAGAAAGTTTGTATTAGAAATGCATTAGCTGCATATCAAATGAACCATTTAAAGTTGCTGCTGCTGCTCCCTCCCTGCTTAGGACGAGCCTGAATTCTCGGCACGCTGGGGTCAGAGCTGATGGGGCAGCTCAAGGATCCTGGGGCCACAGCATCTTCTCCCCAGTGGCTCAGAGCAGGATTTTCCAGCCTCCTGGTTTGGAGGCCACTTTTCAGGTCCTCTTTATGAAGTTGTATTCTGTTACCTAAGGAATCGCATGCACCTGCCGACTGCTCCACTTGCTGGGGGCTTCGGGACAACAAATCCAATTATTCCCTTTCCTCACAAGAAACCTAAACGTGGTGAGTGTTGGTGCAAAAGTGCAAGGTTTGGCAGCACTAAGCTTTATGATTTGGATAAGCCAGACCAACTGTGCTGCAGCATGTGGTATCACTTGGCAATTTATCATCAGTGTGGACAAGAACTGTCTCTGCTAAGTTCTCAGGCTCATAATAATGGAAAAGGAGATGAGTGGTTAAAAAGACAGGATTTGTCTTACCTCTGCAAGGATCGTTTTTCACTAAAAATTCATCCAGGGCCATCCATCCTCCACCAACTCGAACCATCACAGTGCTGCGCAGAATACGGACCAGCCGCAACTGCTGGGAATCACCAAACTGCAGAACCAAGAAAGCAGCAGGTCAGGAAACAGGGAGACGCCTGGAGACGCAGCTCTTCACCCGAGCAGGCTGCACCAGAGCAAAGCACCGCTCACAACGGGGACTCAAATATTCCAAAATCTCTGTGCAATCTTAAATGCTTGTTTTTTTTGTTCTCCGATCTATTAAATATTTTTGATCTTTCTATAACTGTGTTCTTCTGGAATAAATAGGCACTGCAGCAATTTACAGGATTTTTATGCTGCGCGATTTTAGGATGAGGCAGTGACCAAAATCTTTAGTTTTCAAGACCAGAAGACAAGATTTTTCTTCAAAGTGGCAAATGGGAACTTGGAATTCATCTTTGGATGGGTTTCCACAGCCAGAATTGTGGCTTTTCCCCTCTTCTGATACTCTGACCCTCCTGGTGCGAGTCCCCTCTGAGAAGAGAGGGCTGATCCGGATCCCCGGAGGCTGGTGAACCAGCAAGGCAAGCAGTGCTGCGTCACCACCCCGAGGGAAACCCCTCGCTGAGGCCGAAGGCCGCGGGCTGCTGAGCCTCAGCCTCGGCCCCCCGAGCCAGCAAGCTCCCGCCGCAGAACCCCGCATCCCGTGGGGATGTTTCCGTGCGCGCAGGATGACGGGAATCCACGGCGGAACCCAGAAGTGGTGCTGATTAGTGATTGCAATGTTCATTAGTGATTTTAAAGGGCTGCAATTCCAAACGAGCGCCCCCGGAATCAGAAGCGTGCGGCTGGTTTCTCCGAGCCCCCCTCTTGGCATCCTAGACCTCCCACCAGCCGAGCCCAGGGTTGCCTCCTTGGCAGGACCTGGGCAGAACGGCGAGAGCGGCTCGGACCCAGGTGTGCCCAAGGACAAGAGCAAACCCTTGGAAAGCGGGACCATCTCCAGAATGACCAAAAAAAGCTGTAAGACCTTCCCAGCGCAGCTAAGAATGCAAAAACAGGAGAGGAAAACCAGAGTCCAAAGCAGGTGGGGATGGGGTGGGAGGCAGCGCGGGGGCTTTGCGTGCCCGTCCTTCCCGTGGGGACATGGGCTGGCAGCGGCTCCTGCGCAGGCGGCTGCAGGGACCTCGAGCAAAGAGCCCCGGGGAGCATGCGGGTCCTGGGAGCCTCGCTCCAGCAGGGAGCTGCTCCGGGGAGTGAGAGAGGTGCAGGTTTAGTGATTGTTACCTACAGCATTAAAAAGTGCACATTCGGCATTCTCATTCCACGGGGATCGCAACCCAAACCCGGCCGGAGCCTGGTACACACTCCCGGTGCAGGAAATTCCACCCGTTTCAGCAGCTGCTGGTTCGCCCAAGGGAAAAACAGCCCCCAAAGGGAGAAAAAATCTCCCCGTTTTTCCCAAATCCCAATTTCCCTTTTGCATTTGGCCTTTTTTGGGCCCACTTGCACACACTTGGTGTACCAGGCTCTGCCGAGCAGCGCAAGCGGCTCGCGTGCCACCCCAGGACAGACGGACGTTACGGACACGCAGCAAGCGAGGCAGGGGCTGCGGGCAAGGGAGAGGCAGCATCGCAAGGCAAACTGTACCTGGTTGCCGAGGAAGAACTACGGAGAGAGACAGGTTTGGAGGGATGAGAGTTGGGGAAGGAAAGGAACATCAAGAGGAAGAAGAAAAACAAGACAAAAAAAATAACATTTTAGGGGATTAACAGTGCAATAATCACGAAAACCGTTAACTGGGGGTTGTTAGAAATCTAGCCAGGGGGGTCTGCTACTTGGGGCTAAGGTAGAGGCTGGAATTGGACACAGCAAAATCGGCCTGAGAGGGGATGGGGCGGCAGGCCGGGGTTGGCACCCCCCGAGCCAACAGGAGCAGCGCCCTGTTGCCTCCGTGGCTCGTTTGCAACATAAACAGGGCGCCCGCGACAAAGAGATCCTGTCCGGGAATTCTGCCGCTCCTTTCGCTGCGCGGCTAAGGAAAACAGAGGCGTAAGCTCCGCTCGCGCACGGGACGAGCGGCGGGCCGCCGTGAAAGCGCCGTTTCACGCCAGAACAGGGAGGCTTTTATGCTCGCCTGGCATTCCCGAAGCCGGGAAGGGCCTGGGGCCGGACCCGGCGCTGGAGCCGCCCGGAGGCCTCGGTGGGCCGAGCAGCAGCAGCCGCAGCCCCGCGCGGAGCAGCCGCCCCGGCACCGCCGCCTGGGTCCGGCGCGCGCCCTTACCCGGTATTTGTTCTCGCCGATCTGCTCCACTTGAAACCTCTTGGCACATTTGCACTGGGCCACTTGCCTGGTGACCTGGGGGCACAAGCAGAAGGGTAAGAGAGGGGCTTCCTCCACCTCCTTCCCACCCGAGGTGGCCATCAAAGTTGCTTGTCCTTTAAAAATGCAGTAAATTCGCTGGTTCTTGGACAATATAAGGTCAACACCAACTCAAGCCTTTATTTTCCATCCTTTTTGCTCTCCTCGGCTGCCATACCATCCCAAACCACCCCGAAGCAGACGTCCCTCTAGGCCCTTTACCTCATCTTCGATCTTGTCCGCGTCGGTCGTGGGGCGGTAGGCGTCCTTGTTCGGGTGCAGAGCAGCCACAAACTCGTAGTAGTCGATGTAGCCGTCACCATCACGGTCAAAGATGTCAGCCACCGCGGTCATCTCCAGCTTTGTGGTGGGGAACTCTGCAAAGGGAGCGACATGAGGACCTGGTGCCCAACACGCCGTGGTGGCCACCGGTTAGGGGTGGCCAAGGACTCACTGGAGGCCAGGATGCCATCGATGAATTCCTGCCGGGTGATCTTGCCATCTTGGTCTTTGTCAATGCGCCGGAAGAAGTCCATGACGCGGGATTTCTTGTGGTTCATCCAGCGCATGTACTTCTTGCGCCAGATGTCAAAGTCAAAGTTGGCAAACTCCTTCAGCTGGAAGGAAACCCATGGGTGTCAGCACAGGGACAAACAGCCCTCAGACCCACCCCGAGCTCCTGGCGCTGCCTTCAACCCCGCGCAAGCGACGATTCCAGGAGGGTCCATCTAGGGACCACTGCGAGCGCCAGGGCCGCTCAGACGGACGTGGCGGGACAGGAGGACACACAGCGGAGCTGACAGCCACCAAGGGATGGGCGACACGAGCCACCAACACAGGAGGGAGCACCCGCAGCTTTGCACACGTACAGCTACTTGCACACAGACGCACGCGCTCCAGCTCTTCCTTTACACATTTTTTGGGCACTTTTCCAGGGAAAAGCCAGCGGTGTAAGGAGAAACAGGACCTTCCCCTTGGCTGAACCATTCCTTCTCCCCATGGCACATCCCAACCCTTCCCAAACCCAAGGTCCCGCTAGTTTAAGGGACTCAGAGCAAGGAAACATCACATTTCTTAGCGCCTTTTCCCTCCCATCTCTAAATATCCCTACAGCTACAAGGAACAAAGGAAAAAACATGGATACGCATAAACTGAACTGACCTACGGAAAAAGCAACAGAAAACAAAAACACTCACTTCTGGGCATAGCTGCTTTGTTAAGCATAAATAAAAACAAAAATCACATTAGATGGCTAGAAGAGATGCATACAGTACCAAAGTCATTGCTGGGCGCTGAGCAGCCCCGGCGCGCGCTGCCTCTAACGACACCGGCTGCAGGGGCCCAAAGCAGCGCGTTAATGCACGGCTAATTACAGAAGGCCTTAGTATTTAAGAGAATATACATATTTTTTTTCCTTTCTTTCGGTATTTTTAGCAATGCACCAGCAATTGGCAGGTGGAAAGCGGCACTAAGGCGAGATGCTCCTGGCATGTGTGGCCAGCAGCCCTGGTGCCACCGGAGCCCCGGGGGGGCAGTTACCTCCTCGAGACGGTCCAGGGCATCGTTGAGTTTGCGCTGGCGCTCCAGGGCCAGCAGCCAGACCTGCTGCCAGCGCGCTGAGAGCTGGTTGATCCGGGGGTTCTTTGTTTCCGACTGGGAGATGATGGGCATGGTGGGGGGAGCGGCTTGACTCAATGATTTTCCTAGAAAAAAGTGTGAAAAAAAGGAAAAGAAAACACAAAAAAAAATGTCATCTGAGGTCATTGATTGGCACCGCGAGTCTGAATGGGACAGGGGAAAGCAGTGGCAAAATATGCTTTATATTTCAGACAAAAAAAGAGTTTCCTACAGCTGTGCTGGCCACGTTTCGAGTGGAAACGCAGCCTTGAGCAACGCTTCGAGGTGGGATGGCAGTTTTGCAGGGCGCTTCCGTCCACCCCTTTGCACAGAGCATCACCAAGGGATCCTGGCTCCGAGGAGCAGGTGCAAAGGGAAAACCTCATTGCTGAACAGCTGGAGCATGGAGAGGAGACACCGACTGCTCGGCCGCAGTGCGAACTAGGGCTAACCCCTCTAGCTAACGCCACCCGACTTCTCTCCCCCTCTATTTTCACAGGTTTCAGCGTGGAGCCGGGCAGCCGTCAGTGCAGGATGCCTTGCTAATTGGCAATCAGCGCTAATTAGCTCCCTCCTAGCTCGTTGCCCGTGGCGCGGCGGGGACGTACGGTTGCTGCGGGACTTGTCGATGAAGGGCCCGTGCGCGGGCTCCGTCGCTTTCCTCTTGTACGTTTTGGTGACCCGGTCCACGTCCGGCTGCTTCCGCGTCATCTCCTCCATAAAGGACTGTCACCAAACAAACAGGAGCGGGTGTCAACACGGGCTCAGGCTCCAGGCGCTGTCGCTCTGGGTCCGCACTCAGACACCCAAGCCCGTAGAGCACCCGGGTGAACGAAGCACCAGCGACGGGAGTTACTGGGAATAGCCCAATTTGGGGGCTTTTTTTGTGAGCATCCCCCAATACTGGGATGTGGGAAAGCTACTGCACATTCTGGCTTTGCTCTGCAAGCCCTGGTTGGACCCTTGGGTTGTCTTTGCTTATAAGTGACAGTCCTGGAGGAGTAACAAGCTGTTTTAATAGAGACTCACAGCGAAGTCAAATACTTCCCACTTGCCCCTGTCCTGAGAGGGCTGGAAAACCCACTGGCTTCAGGCCTGGGCTCACCTGGTGCTCAGTGATGAGAGCTTTGACCTGATCAATGTTTTGTGGCGTTGGCTCCTGGTCCCGCTGGATCAGGGTCGTCTCAGCCCACTGGATCCAGGCCAGGAGCTCTTCAAGAAGCTCTGCGTTTGCCACCAGCTCCGAGAGCGCAGACTCCAGCCTCTGCTGGTGCTGCTTGGTCCATGTGAGAACCTGTCATCAGAAACGCAAAGATGACCATGAGCCAAGCTTGGGACACTGGAGAGGGAGAAGCCAAGAGCATGGGAATGCTCCGGGAGCAGAAGTTTCCATCAGCATCCTGGAGCAAACCACGCTCCTGATGGCTGGAGTGGCTTGGGGACACACCTCCTCAAATCTCGCACGGATGATGGTGATCCAGTGTTTAATGGTGGTGATGCAGTCAGGATGGCACGCGGCCAGGATCACCTCTCCCATGGCCACTGCCGCGTTCACATCGGCTCTCTTCTCCTCCACTTTCTTCATGAACTCCTGCAAGGAGGAGGGCAAGAGGAGGCACATGAAGAGGTGGCACAGCCGCAGAAACGATCCAGCTCCCTCAGCCCCATCCCGACGGTCTCCACTCAACACCTACCCACAAACTCTGCCCAAAAATCTCTGCAGGAAGGTTGCTTAGCAAGTAGCATTTGCCTAATCACTGTGGGTCTTTTACTTTAAAAAGCTTATTTTTCCTTCAAGCCCCTCCAAGAGCAGGACCTTAAAGCCCAAAGGGATCATTCTGAAACCTTCTTGCCTATAAGACTCCCTTTTGCTGCTGTAAAAAGCAACGAGCTGCCCTCTGCTCAGTGCATCCACCCCTTTACGCTGCGGTCTCCCTGTGCCCGGCGGCGCCCACGGAGCCTCTCGGAGCTGCCCGGTACCTTGTGAACGTCGATGAGGCCCTGCAGCGCCTCGGCGTCGTCGGGGAGCGCGCCGCGGAAGCGCAGGCTCTGCTCGGCCTCCGAGAGCCACTCCAGCAGCAAGTGCACGGCGGCCCGGAATTCCTCGGCCTGCGGAAATGCGGAGCACGCGTGAGCCCGCCGGCTGCCGCAGCTGCCCCGACTCGCTGCTGAGCCAAGGCAGGGCACAGAGCTGGAAACATTCCGCCCTGGAAAGATTCCTTAAGGGAATAGAGGAAATGGAGAGTCCCCAGCGACTGGTGGCCTGGATTTGTAGAGAGCATCGGCACAGGAGCCCTTCTCTCCTTGCACCTCTCTTCTCTCCTTTGCATCAGTGGCATTGAAGAAGCGGATGTTTTTTGAAACAACACAACTTCCTTTATTCTGATCAATTTGGTATCTTCTGCAAATTGCCTGCTTGATATGGAACCTACTCACAAGTCTTTTGAACTTTTTTTTCAGCTTTAATCTAGGTCTCTTTCTTGTTCCGGACATTAGAAGACTGAATAGTCTCTGATCACCTGGCTACACCTCTCCGCCTGCTGTGTACATCAGTGAGATCTTTTCATCATTCCTTTTCAAATAACAGTCATTAACGACTCTTCTTTTGGGGAAAAACTAACTAAATAACAGATGCCACTGCACCGCTTTGCAGCTCTGACCATTAACTGCTGCAAGACTGGCTCGGCCATGCCCAGGATGAGGGAGACGCCTCCAGCACCAAAGCACTGATGTGGATCTGTCCTGTCAGAACATCCAAAAGTGCCCTGACAATTTTCCTCTGGAGCATGGGGACCTACTTCCCTTTCGGATAAGGGCATGGAGAGGTTGAAGGGCATGGCCTCGCTCCGCAGGCAATTGGCAGGGCCAGGACCTTTGCCTTAACTTGGGAGGAAGCGTTCCAAAAGGAAAGCAGAGCACAAAGAAAGCTCTCAAGGACCAGAATTCCCACCTGTAGCTTTTGCTTACCTGCTTCAAGGCCTGTTCCAGGCGAGTTTGTTTGGACACAGACAGCTTGCACACGGTGTCCCAGCGGTTGCTCAGTTCCTGTAGCTGCACCTTCACCCAGGTCGTGTCATCGCGGCTGTTCTCGATGAGCTCCCGTCCGGAGCGCTTGAGCACCTGAACCGTCCCCGTGCGCTTCCCCAGCTCCTTCTGGAAGACCTGCAGGGTGAGAGGGCAGGAGTCAGTCCCAGAGGGTACAAACAGGCAAGAGATCATTGAAATATTTTGTAGCACGGGTTGCATCCACACTCCTGGGTGCACATCTCAGGTGGTTGAGGGCTAGTTACCACCCCAGAGCATCTGAAAACGTTCCCATATGAGTGCATGTGGACAGCCTGAGCACTTCCAGCAAAGTAAGACTCAGAGGAGAGCAGGATGCTGAAATTTCCCCCAGAGCATCCCTAAACACCCGCAGAAACGATCACGAGCTGGAGCAGGGCAGCTCCAGCCGAGCAGCTCATGCTGCAGCACAGTAGCTGCTTGAAGCAGAAGCCCAAGCCCTGCTCGAGGATTTGAACTTCTGACCTAATCCAACAGGAGGAGTGCCAATTTCTAAGACATGCTGGAGAAAACTGCCAAGATGAGAGTTTATAGAAAACTGTAAACCCAGCTACCTTTTCAAAACCCAATAAATCTTCCTGGGGATATCTAGGAAGAACAGAATTCCAGATCCTGTAGTCTTATTATTGCCCTCCTTGCCTACCACAGCAAACCAAAGCCTTTACAGATGCAGCTCTGCAGAGAGCTACTAACTCTGGTTCCCCTGTTATTTGGCATTTGGGGAACACAAACTCCACTCAGATGGTGCAGAAGAACTGGAACAGGCTCTCTCACCTTATGAGCATCCATCAGGTTCATGACCAGATCCAGGTCGCCGTGGACAGGCTGATCTTCAGCTAATTGTGGTTCCACCTTGTACAGCCAGTCCACCAAAGCTTGTAGAGCATCCATGAACTGGCCAGAGAACAAGAGGGCTTCTTCAAGCTTGTGTTGCCTGCAAAGCAAATCTCCATGTGAACTCTATGGAATCAGGAAGTGTTTTTCTCTTCATCCACCTCATTTTGCTTTGACCCAGTGATCTCCTTCACCCATCACATCTAACCACCACACTACTTTGGTCTAAATTCCCATCCTATCTCCTCTGCTCTGCTTTTCCCTTTGATGATGGTCCTTGACAGACGAGTGCTGCTTGTACAGGGTTCCGATGGGACTTACCTTTCTACAGACTTGCCACACACAGTATCCCATTTATCCCGGACTTCTCCTAGCAAATTGTCCAGGTTTTGAGTGTCATCTGAAAGCAAGGCCTTCTCTTTGAGGGCTCTGCCAGTCCTGATTGTAGTGTCATAGACGGGCTGCTTTCCACCAAGCGTCTTCTGAAATTCCTACATTTACAACCAGAAGCAGGGAAGGGAAAAGGAAAATGATTTAGAAGGTCTGATCTGTCCAGGAAGATAAATGTCTCTCTTGTGCAGATCCATAGCTCTACGTTTGCCACTGTGGTAACCAAGGTGCAAAGTGTCACTTGTCACTGCTGCCCTGCTCTCCCTGCCAAGGAAGCCACTTTCCCCCAGCTCCCACGCTCTGCTTTCCCTTCAGTGAAACTCTACCTTGTGCTTGGAGAGCTGCAGCTTGATCTTGTCAGGATCGTTGGAGATCTCCAGCTCAGAGTCCAGGTGATTTTCTGCATCTTCCAGCCAATCAACCAGTTTTTTCCAAGCTTCGTGGAACTGAAATAAAGCAGGAGGGAGTTTAAGGCTCAACACTGATGCTTTCCTCCATCTCTTTTCTGCCCCCATGACCTTCTGTCTCTCAAGGCTGGCATTATCCCTGTGACTGTCCAGCCCTTTCCATGCCTCACCTGCTTGGCTCGTTTCCTGGCATCATCAAGAGCTCGGCCTCTCTCAACGGAGCGCTGCACAACCTTCTCCCAGCGCGACTGGACGCTCACCAGAAGGTTCTTTATCAGGACCACATCCTGCTTTTGACTGAGAAACTTCAGCTGGCTCCCAGTTTGGTCCAGCTCAATGATCCGGTCCCGATGAGCATTCACTTCGTTGGCGAACACCTAAGAACAGCAAATAGTTACTGCTATATCTAAAGAGAAGAGCTGGATAGGCCTGTGGATGAAAGTGGCCTCTGGCTCCCTCCATCCGGGCTCTGCCTGGGAAGAGGTGGCTGGACCCTGGGGTACCTTGTGCTCTTCGATTTGGGCCAGCACCGCGTTGAGGATGAGGCTGGGTGGGGGCACAACGTTCAGGGTCTGCTCCGCCAATGTGAGCCAGTTGATGAAGTCCTGGAGGGAATTCTGGAAGTCCGTGGCCAGGGCGAGGGCTTCCTCCAGCTTCGCCTGCCGCCGCGGGCGCCGGGAAGGAGGGAGGCAGAGAGGGAGGAAGGGAGGAAAAAAAACACCGAGTGCTAAAGTTCACAATCCGCGGTTTCCCAGACAGAGGCAGGCTTTGTGCTCCCAATGAAATGAGCCTCTAACGGGAACCTCATCGGATCGGCCAGGGAACATGACTTGTTTACCAAGGGGAGGCGATTTCAATGAAAGCAGCCCGCTGCAGAATCAGTTTCTTTCCAAACAAACGGGCAAGGATCGCGCATGAAAGAGGAGGCAACTCCATTATGGGCACGCAAGCAGCTGCAGCACGCTCCGCTTCCCGAATCACGCATTGCCATGGGAAGAGCTGCTCAGGAAATGGAAGGTGGATGATCTTTCGATGGCAACAGCTGCAGCACCACAAATTTATTCTGGGCTGAGGCCACAGCGGCCCCTGTTTTATCTCATCGCTGGCCAAAACATGAGAATGGAGGTAGCTCAGGGGAGGATTTGGCCGGCCGTCTTGCTCAGAGGACCAACAAAGTGGGCCTTTCAGAGCCACAGGGGGCTTTTTACCGCCTCTCTCCTGAATTCATCCAAATGCAATCCCCATTTTCTACGTCATTTAACCAACTCTTGTGACTAGCTATGAAAATAAAAGCTTGGCTCTCGGCATCGTTGGGAGGGCAAATACAACCCGTGCAACTAAGGGAGAGAGGCTCTAGAAAATGATCCTGCTCTCCAGCCTGTCTCTATGGACGGCAGTAACTGTAGAAATAGGGAGCTATCTGACCAGCTTGTGGGGAGGCAAGAGCAACTGGCACCTCTCTGCAAGCCTTACCTTCCTCTCCTCCATCTTGGTGCTGACCAGGCCCCATTTCTGCTCCAGCAGTGCCACACTCTGCTCCGTCTTCGAGCCGGAGCCCGAGTCATCGCGGTTCAACAGCATCAGGCGTCCCTTGGCCAGCAGCTGGCTGTACACGTCCTCCTTGGCCTTGAGCTGGCCGTACAGCTCCTGCAACGAAGGCATCGCCAAAGAGGGCAGAGAAGAGCTCAGACTGGTGGCCACGGCTTGTTGGAAGGCAAGAAAGTCAAGGCAAGCAGCAAGGGGTCATTTTGCACAGAGAGAGGTGCTTAAACTAGAGATGCTGGCAAGACCTGTCCAGGCATCAAGGGCAAACTTGACCGTGATGCTGAAAAGAAGAGGCCATGGAAGCCCTCCCCATCAAGACTCTGCCACAAAACAGCAAGATTTCAATGCTAAGATTTGATGGGCAGACAACTGGGTTGAATGAGAAGCATTACAAAGCTGTACGAAGGAATTACCATGTGGGCATTGAGTTGCTCCCGGGCAGTTTCTGGCAGACCTCCCGTGGATTTGGACGCGGACAGTTGGCTCTCCATCCTCGTTAGCCACAGGAGGAAGTCTTCAATCTCACCATGGAAACCCTGGGCCTGTGAGGGGACATATAATGGACCACGGATCAGATGACATCAGCTGCCATTGATCACACGCCAGGGCCGAAGCTCTGCTCACTTCACTAGATAAAGAGGCAAAGAGTTTGACAGCACATTAAGAAGGGATGTGCGTGGTACCTCCTTAACCACACGGCAGCTCTGGTGCACAAACAGAACCCTGTTGCTTCTGCAAACAAATATTGCTCGCTCTGAAACCTCACTTTGAGGCTACCGTGTCTCCAACACGGTTTAAAAAAGAAGGGAAAAAGCCACTTTCTAAAGCGCCTTTGTCCCTCCACCGTCAAGCCTCACCTGCTTCTTACAAAGGTATAATTTTCCACTTCAGGGTAACAAACGCACGCGGAGTATTTTGAGGTAAAACCAGCAAAAACAAAGCACTCCATAGCTGTGCCACATGGCAGAAGATGTGAGGTCAGCTCTGACCTTGCTGAGTTCATGCCCTGTGGCAGAAGTGCCGGGTCTTTGCTGCGCTTCCAGGCAGGCAGAGAATTGCTCCCAGACAACAAATCCGCACAAAAAGGTGCCCAAGGTGTCTAACCTCTTCTGCTCTTTGGGAAGGGACATTAAGTGGGGGCAGGTCCTCAACGGCACCCACGGGGCCACCCAAGGAGCGTCCCTGACCTGCTGAAGGGTCGACTGCAGCTGCTGCTCCCTCTCCTCTGTCTTCTGCAGCACTGCCTCCCAGCAGGAGTTCAGGGTCTCCAGGCGGTTTCGCAGGCTGCTGGCATCGTCTCCGGCACTCGACTCCAGGAGCTCGTTGCCCGCTTTGTTCACTGTCTCCACGGTTGCTTGGTGGGCCAAGACGTCGTTCTTCAGCACCTGCAGAAAACACGGCGTGTGAACGCTGTGTGCATCTCCAAAAGGCCTAATTTTGGTTGGAGTCTTCTCCAACTCTTCAAATCCCGCATAGGGAATGGATGAAAAACAGCCCTATGTGGGAATACTCACATGGTGCTTTGCGAGTTCCACCTCAATGACTTTGGGATCTCCGTTGATGGGTTTCTGTGCATCCAGCAGCTCCTCCGTGTGGGTTAGCCAGGCCATCAGCTCTGCTAATGCGTGTTGGAACTGGCCAAGTGCTAGAAGAGCAGCTTCCAGCTTATGCTGCACAGTGAGAGAGAAGGAAAGGGAAAGTTTAAGTCAGGAAGGAGAGGAAGCGTCCAAGTGAATTTTGACTCTTCATTTCCAAGAGCCCAGGTCTTCTCTGTACCTGTCTGTGAGCAATTTTCTCGCCCAAATTCTCCCAGAGATGTTTCAGCTCTGTCAGTGGCTCTTTTATGATGTCTCTATCTGTCTCATCGGTAGCTTTTTTTAGCATCAGTTCACCTTGATGATTAAGCTTTTCCATTTCGATCTGCTGCTGGTAAACCTCCATTTTAAACTCCTGCCAAAGCAAGCAGGACAAAAACCGGAATAACATGAATCATCTGAGCGTGAGCTCTGCACTGCCAGCATCAGAGAACCAGCCTGATTCCGCTCTCATACCTTCATCTCGTTCATTTGCTCCTTAACTGTGTTGAGGTCTGTGCCAACAGGTGACATGTTATAGAGTTTAATCACAGAATTGTCCAGCCAGTCAAACATTGCCTGAAACAAGGGCACACAATTAACAGGGGGTTATCAAAAACAAAAATACCAGTGGGGGAAACAGGGCAGCTACATCTGTCACCCTGCAACCACACAACTTTGCTTTTGGACAGAGACATCTGCTTGGCCATCAGGCGCTTCTGCAAGCTCCTTTGCATTCAGAAGTTGAGGGTGATGCTCCTAAATTCACCCACTCCAGAGTCTCCAGCACCGGCTCTTACCTGGAGCGTGTCCTGGTACTGCACTGCTGACTGCATGGCTTCTTCGAGCTTTTCAAGCCGTTCCTTCCAAGTTTTGTTTAGATTTTCCCATGCGTTGTTCATCTGCGGAACACAAGATTGACCACAGGATTTGTTAGGCGCTGCCACTTGGGCTCCTGCTTGCACTTGCCCGAAGTTATCAGATCGAGAGGCTGCCCTTTCTCCTACCTCATCAATGCTCTTTTTCACTTCTGGTTTCTCGGTTTCGCCGCAGGCAAAAATTAAATCTGTTCCAAGGATGCGAATGAACTCCAGCTCTTCATGCAAGCCATCCGTCTCCTCTTTAATAGTCTGCAGATAACACAGTGGCAAAACAAAAAAGATTTATTTGCTAAAGGCTCTTCAGGAAAGTCCCCTAGTACATGAGGATGGGAGGGCTGAGGCATAGCAGGTCTGTCCTGGCTTCCAACAGCAGAAACTCTTGTGACCTGCAGCCCAAAGCCAGACCATCATCTCTAGGCTAGGATGGAGATGGCTTTCCTGCTCACCAGTATTGCCACGGGCACCTTTCTGCCTTCTCCTTTGGTCACAGTGGCAATGCTGCTTGCAGGGTTTAGGGGAACAAAATTAGCAAAAACACCCTATATTTAACTTGACGTGTGCCTGAACTGGACTCACTGCAGGCTGTGGCATTTTCAGGAGCATTTCATCAATGCAGCAATCACTTTTCAAGATGCAACGGTTGCAAACTGAAGTCAAAATGGTTGTAAAATGAAAATAAACCCAGCAAGGATAAGCTTAGCAAAGAGCAATGCAAAAGGAACATCCCTGCTCCCCGAGGTCCAAGGCTGGTCAATATTCAAACCCTCAAAGTGGTTGTCACCACAAGACTTGAAACAACCAGACAACACAGCATCCACGTCCGCCCAGCTTTAGTTATCTCCAGTCTAACCAGAATCCAAATATACACTTCCCAGGCTGCACAGTGCTCCAGTGCCTTCTGTGTAGACCAGAAACAAACTTCTACATCGCTCCAAACAAGTGCACACAGCTCTGACCACATGCCCTGACAACGGTTTTCCAAACCAGCAGCAGATGAAGTGATTTAAGCATCATTTCCTTGTCCAGGTTAGGAACAGCTGGAAGGTGGGAGGGGATATGTAAAATGCACTACTGTCTTTTTTTCCCCCTGCGGTTCCAAATTGCAATGTAAATAATGTTTCATAACCAGACTAGCTGCCTACAAAATGTTTTGTAGGCAATGGACGTGCTTGGCCATGCCCATATCTAAGATCTAGTCCAATCTGGCTTACAGGTTGGGTGCAAACAGGCTCCAGAATGAGACACAGCCCCCCGCGTCCTCACCTCTGCTGCTTCCACCTGCTGCTTGATGATGGATGGATCAATGCCTGGGCTCTCCAAGTCATGCACGATGTCCTGCGTGTCCCTGATGGTAGTCAGGAGGGCTGCCATGTCGTACCAGAACTTCTCTGCGAGCTCCAGGACGTCAACGAACTTCATTTCACGCTCCTCGGCCCGAGCTTTGATGTCCTCCCAGAAGAAGACCATCTGATCCAGCTTATCCTGGATTACTGAGGATGGGAATGAAAACAATCAGTGATGAGGGAGGCTGCCCTATTTTGCCTCTGGGAAACTGTTTTACAACTGAAAGTATTTTGCAAACACCTTCCACTTAGAAACAGCCAGGAGAATATATTCTAATAAGAAACAGAAGGACTGTCAGAGCATGAGCTGAGACATGAGGGACAGGAGAAGCTCCAAGTTACGGAAATAAAATTATTATTTATGTGCAGGCAAGTTGAGGACAAATTTGCCCACACAGCCTCCTCCAACGAATCTGTTCCAGTCACCTCTAGTGAGAAGCTGGAGCTCCTGCAGTTCAGCAGCTGCCCATTGAGATGCCAATGAAGGTGCCAATTAGCATCACTTGTGTTGATGGGCCTTTCTGTGCCAGGGATGTTCCTCCCTTCCATGAGGGGTTGAACTGACATGGACAAACCCTTTCATGGGGGCCACTGGCAGCTGCCCTTACATAAGGGCTCACGGCTGAGCTTCTTGTTCCTTGGGTTGACACTCAAGGAAGGACCGAGCTCCAGATGGAAGCAAACACCAGGTACTCTGCACGCAGAGAACTCACTGTCTCCAGAGCCAAGAGACCCTTGAGATATCCCCTTGGGACAACCGCCTGGGGCTGGAGCCTCCATTTGGGCAGCACATGCAGAAGTTGGGAAAACACCAAAAGCAACCACCTCCCTTCGAATGCCCCCTGAGATACCTTTAGCCGCCAGATCCTTGTCTGCCCCCTGCGATCTCCCAATGAGATCTTCGCCGCGGCGCCGGAGGGCCTCGAAGGAGGGCTGCAGCTTGTCCAGCTCCACGGTGGCGTTCTTGTTCTCGTTGATGCACTCGCGGATCTTCTCGACCTCGGCGGGGATGAGGGGCGGCATGCGCAGCCGCGACGACAGCGCTTCCAGCGTCTCCAGCATGGGCTCGATCTTGTCGTGGAACTGGAAGGGAAGCAAGTCCATGAGGGCAGCAGGAGGAGGCTCGAGAGCGCGCGAGGGCCCCTCTTGCAAGGGGACAAGCGGGGCCGGCGGTGGCCGCGGCACCGGCAGCCTCCCGGTCACGCCTGCCCCAGCTTTCCTTGGCTTCTCAGCTTGCAGGAATCAAGCCAGGAGCCAGGCAGGGCAGGCAGCTGCGGACCAAGCATGGCAGCGCTTCCTCAGGATACTCAACCCTACAACATTCCCGTCCGGACTGCTGCCCCCCCTTGCTGCCAAAGCACAGCAGGGCAGGAAAGCTGAATCCCACGGGGTTGTTCTTGCTCCTTTTAGCGGCCATGCAAAGGTGCTGCCGGCAAAGCGCCCGTTTTTGGTGCCCAAGGAAGCGGCCGCTCCGCGCGAGGCTGGCGAGGGGACGGAATGGCGGGAGGCCGCGCGCTGCCCCACGGCCGGCACCTCGGCAAAAGCAGCATCGGGAAGCCGGGGCTGGAGGAAGCGGGGCAGCAGGGTGTTTTTTCCTAAGAAAAGTCAACTTTGGCCTTCAAGACGAGATCACCACTGCTGCTGAACTCCGGGCCAGCACCCCTGGGTGCCCCGGCACCTCCTCTCCCCATGTGCCACGCCGGCAGCAGAGGCAAAATAGGCCCACGGGCACGCTGGCTTCACCCCAAGCAGGAGCAACCCAGCGAGAGCGGAAACCTCAGTGCATCGGTGCAAAGCCCTTGGATTGCAAAGCCTCAGCTTTGCACCCAGCGCACAGACTCCAAAATAGCACAATCTGGGTGTAAACCAGGCTAGTTTCAGCCAAAGAGGGAGGGTAGGTGAGCGGCGGTCGTGGCAAGGCTTACCTCCATGATCTGCAATGGTGGGGCGCAGTCAACACAACAATGAAATGGGACCACGCAGGGACACAGGCAGCGACACACAAAGGTAACACATCCACAATGTGAGTGAGAGATGAGACGGGAGGGGAGTGGGGAAGGGGGAGAAACGCCGAGTTAATACCAGTGCAAACCCAGAGAAGTGACTAAACAATACAGGAATTCAAAATAAAAATAATCAAAAAAAAAAAAAAAAAAAGAAAAAGAGAGACGTGACAAAAACCAACTGCTACGGTAACACCAGGTGAAATGACACAGAACTGCAAATTATACATCGTGGGCATGGGGGACAGCTCTTTACCCTCTTTCTAAATTTTAAGGCCTCTGATCTCTACTCGTCCTTTCCTATCCCCTTCCTGCAGTGCTGCCTTTTGTGGGTGCCCCTATAGATGCCCAGGTCCCAGAGACGATGCTCTCCCCTATGGACCCCGTGTTTCACTGTCCCTCCAGCAGCATTTTTCTTATCAGGAAGGAAACGTCTCTCTCAGGCTCTTCAAAGAGGCTCCCTGGGGACCTTTCAGCTTTGGCAGGCGCCGAAACAGCCCCTTGGAGAGGGCATCTTTATGGGGGCCGTAAAAATCTATTACGCTATTGACTGTGTCAAGATTCAAAGGGCTGCAGCGGGGAGCTCCGCCTGACCACATCAGGCTTTATAATGATGTTTAAAATCCTTAAGCCTGGTGTAAAGCAGCCTTGGAAACCAGCCTTCCCCAGGGGAATGCGACACGGCCGTGGCAGCAACGCGGCTGCTTTTGCATCTACCTGGGTGGACTGTGAGACGGCCTCGTCGAGGGCCATGGCCCGCTGGCACACCTCCTCCTTGATCCTGGCATACATGGCCTCCGCCGTGGCGTACTTCTTCTGCACCATGTCCCCTTCCTCCGGGTTCAGCTCCTTAAGCTGCGGTCCAATTTTCAGCAGCTTGTCAATGTGAGGCTTATGCTCCGCGATCGACTCGCGCAGTTGCTAGGGAGGGAAAGAAAAAAAAGAGAATGGTTTAGAAAGCTGTTGAAGGACACTGCCTATTTATTTCATGCTCAAAGAGCTGTGATTTTATCTTGCACCATGGCGTTCTTGATGCAGCAAGGACAGGGTCCTCAGCACTTCTCTGTGTGGCCACCACTGCGTTACTGTCCCTTGACCCCCCCAGGGGCTTCTCGCTACTCTAAAAGCCCAGGGCAGTTTTTCCTGACACAATGAGGCAAAAGACCCAAAGACAATTGGGCTCCCTTGGGTTTATCCTGTATTTCCTAAGCAGCGTTCCAACTCTTCTGGTGATCAGCACATGATGTCTTCAAGACACCAAGTAGGATCCCCAAAAGCAAGAGATGGAGGAAAATGCCTAAATTCATCACGAAAGAGCCATGCACAGGCCACGCTTGACCTCTTTTGAAGACAGCAGAGCTCATTCCTCAGCAGGCAGTGTGGGAGCTGCGAGCTCAGCAATCTCCTTACCCGCATGTCCTCCTGCTGCTGCTTGAGCTGCTCAGGATCAATAGCTGGAGGGGGCAACTGTGAAATTAGGGCTTGCGTCTCCTCAATCCACGGATTCAGCTCTTCGTAGGTCTCCCAGAACTGGTTCACCAAGACCTGGGCGCGCTCCAAGCGAGCGTAGCGCTCCGAGTTGAGCTGGCTAATGTCTTCGTACTGCTGCACCAGGGACTCCGTTTTCTCCTAGAAGGAACAGGAGAGGAGTCAGTGACGGAAGCAAAACCGGTGAGAGCCGCAGCGACCTGCTGTGAGCTGCAGAAGATGCTTCCGATGGTGCTCCACGTGCACACGCCGTAATTCCAATTAAAGCAGCGTCAGAAATCACCGCTGTCCCCTGCCACTCCATAAACACAGCAATAAAAGTGCGGCAATAAAGGGGAGTAATAAATGTAAAGAGATTTCTGCTAAGTGTCACTGGGGGGAACTACTAAAGATGGAGTAATTTTAAACTACTTGGGGTGGAGTAGGAGCCAAGGGCTGAACCTCCTCCTCTCTCCCCTCTAGTTTCCCCGTAAGTCGCCGTCTGACTCACCTGGAGAACGGCTTTCTGCTCTTCCCCACACGTCCCCAAAATCTCGTTGCGTTGGCTGAACAACTCATCGATAGAGTCTTTGTGCCGAATAATGTCAATGGAGAAAGCCTGCGGAGAGGAGATGTCCAAAGAAAGGCAAGAAATCCGGAGCAGAGCCCCCCTGCACCCTCCTGCCGTGCCCATCGCGGCAGGGAGCGGATCCCCGGGGTCCTGCTGGCGCTTGGCACCGCAGAGATCACACTCAGCTCAGTGCACGTGGCCCCTGGCACACCGCGAAGCTGGCTGCACATGGGGGAATGTTTGTCCTCGTTGCTCATCTAGCTTAACCTCTCAAAGCCCCAAAAAAGGCATTTGGAATTAGGGCCCGAATCCAGCTCTGAACAACCACCCCGTGCAGGTCACCTTTCCACCCAGCCGAAATCTGGCAAATCTGAGGGGAGGCCTTGGAAGGAGCAGCTCCAAGACCTATTTGGAAGGGATTGGTTTCAGGAAGACGTTCTCCCTTGGGCCCTTTCTCCCTCAGAATCACATCTCCCGACAGCTCTGCCGTCCCTGAAGCCCCCATGCTTTGCAATATCCACAAGCAGTAGGAACTCGAGCTGAGCTCAATTTCACGTAATGCTCGGTGCTTTGGTCCCTCTCCATTCTAACAATGATTTTTTTTAAATGCACGAAATCCAATAAGCGTGCATTTTGCACCGATTGCCGAGTCTGGTAAGGAAGAAAAGAGCTGTTTATTTAAAGGGCACGTTCTTTCAGGCATGATCTCATCTCAGAGATATAAAAAACCAGCTTCTCTTTGTTCCAAGCCTGGCTGCCATGAGGGAGACGAGTCCCCCAACACGGGGAACGATGAGCCAAAAAAGCAAATGCAAAAAGTGCCTGTGTTCATCGATACCTTCGTTCCGCTAACCAGTTCCTGCTGCTGGTAGTGAGAAGCAGGTAGAGCTGCTAATGTGGGGAAAGCCTTGGGAAGGGGCAGAGCTCTTCCCCCTTGGGAAGGGACAGCTTTTCCCCCAGGTTAACTAAAGCCCTGGGCCGTCTCCATCGTTTCCTCCCTCGCAGGGTCATGGCTTGGGGACGCAGATTCGGCGGCACCGAGGAGCAATGCTCAGCACGTACCTTCTGCACCTGCAGCTGGGCTGTCGTCTGGTCCTGCTCCAGGCGAATGGGTCCCAGGGCCATGAGCTTGCGCTTGGTCTCGGCCACCCAGGCGAGCTCCGCGTCGGCCGCCTGCTCGTACTGCGGGCGCAGAGAGACGGGGCAGCGGGTGAGCGGCGCCAGCCACTCGTGGCGACAGGGCACGGGGTGCGGCGATGGGGCAAGGGGCAGCAAGACCCGTCAGGGCCTTTGGGATGGACACAGGATGGGGGGGACCAGGGGCAAACGCTGTGACCGGGCACGGGGCCGGATGCCGGTCACGCCGCCTGCCACCATGTCTTGCTCCCTATGATGCATCCAGGGACAATCTGCTCCAATTTAGCTTTAACTTAACCTGGGGGTTCCTTGGTTTATCCTTTCGCCCTAGCAGGGAGCAAGGGCCTTTTTGGGTTTAACACAGCAGTGACCCTGGCCCCAAAACAGCCACACGGCCTGGGAGGCACTCCGTGCACGCCAAGGCAGAGACCTCACTCTGGATGACACGGAAACAAGTGACAAATGGCATTTATGTTCTTGTCATGCACAAGGAAAGCAACTCTCCTGCAAGGCACACGGAGCAAATCCCCGTTCACAGAAGAGAGGGTTACGTTTCCAGGCCTGAAAGTCACCTGCCTTTGCCTTCGCACAAGCTCCATTACTAATGCAAGAGCGAGCCAGCGGACAGGGGTAAAACGCATCATGGTCCCCAGAGCCTTTGAGCTCTCCCTTCCAAACCACAAGCAGCTGGGCCAGGAACGGGTCAGCAAGGAGCTCAGCGCTCCCAGCACCGCCGTCACACTCGGCGCGATCCGCGCCGGCCGCCAGGGATGAGCTCGGCCTTCCCGGCAGGCCCCGCTCCCCATTCCCGCCGGCACGCTCGGAGCGAGGCCGCCGTGAATCACCCACCGCAGAGCCCTGTGTGGAGGCTGCTGCTTGGTTACGAAAATACCTTTTGGGATCTCTGAATAGCGGCGTCTATTTCTTCCACTCTCTGCTTGATGGTGTCGCTGACCAGCTTGTAGCGCTCGTTGGTGTCCGACACGAGCTTGTCCAGCCCTTCGCGGGCTCGCCAGGGAACGAGCTCCAGGAGCGCGCGGCTCACCTCGTTCACGGTGTCTAGGACAAGCCGATGCTCCATGACCTCCTTCTTCAGCTCCTGCAGGACACACACCCAGAGCAGCCAGGCGTCACGGAGCTCCAGGTGACCGCAGCCGGCTTCCCAGCTGCTTTCCCACAGGGCTCACCTTCTGCCTCTGCTGGAACTGGGGGATCTGCTCGCCCGCTGGCGACTGTTCCCCGCTGGACACCAGCTCTTCCTCCACTTGGCTCATCCAGTTGTTGAGCTCCTCGTGCGTGGACTGGAACTTGGTGGCCAGCTGCCGAGCCTGCTCGAGCGTGCGGAGCGCCTTCGAGCTGCTCGCAGTGATGTCCGAATAGCGAGTCTTGATCCCGTCCAGCTTCTCCTGGATTAGCAGCACTTCCTCGCCTGCAAAACAAAGATATTGGGCAAAAGGCTAAAGGGTCTGCAGGGGGCTTTAAGCAGCCTGTTGCCCTGTGCTCCCATTTTAAATAGCTACTTTCAGTCTCACTTTTCTTCTGCTCCGTGCGACTAACAAGCCTATTTTTACAGCCACGAAGCTACTCTTAGAGCTGACATTTTCCTACCAGCTCGTGTAATTTCCACCTCCTTCCCATAATAGCAAGGAAACAAGCTGTGAAACTTTGCTTTGCAATAAACCTTAAAGCCACCAGAGCTCCGTTCTTAACTAATATGTCAGAGCTCCAAGAAAAGGCCCAATTCACTCGCTGTTCCTGCTTCTGAAAGGACAAGAAATTGCAAGCCAATTTTTTTTTTTTTTTTTTTTTTTTGCAATTCCTCTTCCTGCTCTGCGGCTCCCACAAGGACAGAGGTCCAGACAGCTGCTCGGAGCAGCCCACATCTGAAGGGAACATATCACCCTGACCTTCCTTCCCACTCACAAACACAAACTCACACCCACGTGGCAACAGCGACAACTGCTCCTGCATGGGAAAGCAATATTAGGAAAGGGCTCGGCGTATTTTTAACTTCTTTCCATGTGATTTAGCAGCTGGAGGCAGAGTGAAGATCCTACATCCATTACAGGGCTGCCTGGTGCCCAGTGTCACCAGGTGCTTTGTGCTGATGGTGGGAATCCCAGCTCGGAAAGCCGGGAGTCGAGATTTTCCGAGGAGAAGGAGTACACGCGGTCTGCGCAAGCAGACCTGGGTGAGAAGATCCCAAAGGAGAAGATCCCTCTGAGGAGATCCCAAAGGAGACAAGTCTCCTCCAAACTTATCCCTGTAGACCATGAGCCTCCCAGCTAGCATGAAGCACTGTACAAAGACCTTGGCTGCAGCACGGGAGAGCTCCACATGCCAGAACGTGTCCGGCTCTCCCGCTTACCAGTGGTTTGCTTCAGAAGAGCTTGTCCGTTTCTGATGGCTTGGTCCACGTTCTTCTTGCGGTTCAAAATCTCCTCGTTCAGAGCCTGGACAGGAGGAAGAAGCCGCCGTCACCCTTGGGCAGGCAGGGCCCCGAGTCCCACAGGCTGCTCAGCGCAGCACAGGGCCGATGCAGAGCAATTCATGCTCTCCTTAACATCTAACACGGGGAGGTAGGCTATGGATCCAACACAAGTCCATAAAACTCGCTCTAGGACATCTCAAGACTTATGGGACCCCCAGGTGCCACCTTAGAGGAAAACCACCCAAACCTTCATCTAACACTGTAGAATTCAGTCTTTTAGTACACATAACCAAGCTCTTAACAAGGCTGGCATGGCCCTAAGAGAGAAGACATAGGCTGCTCCTCTGGTGGCCAGTCTAGCCCAGCACATCCCTAGCTCAGCTCTTCAAATCCATCCTCTTGGAAGGGATCTCCAGCCTTCTCAAGGCAAATGGCGGCCAAGCAAGCCCAGCATCTGCTTGCAAGGCAAAATTGGGAATTGCTTGAATCGCTTGAAGTTTCAGCTCCCCTGCTCAGGAAACCCATTTAGGGGCTGCAATTATTGCCTGCAACGCACGCAACCTCTTCATACGTCTCCAAGCCCCGGGCAGGCAAAGCTTGTTCCACCACCGGTTAAAACTAAAGTCCGACCAGAAGCACAAAATGGATCAATGCAGCAACAAACAAACAAATGATGATGATGATAATAATAATAATGATAATAATAATAATAATAATAATAATAATAATAATAATAATAATAATAAAAATAACATAAAATGGAAGAAAATGGAAAATACCAGCTGGTCGGCATGTTGCTTCTGCAGGACGTCCCGCGTGAAATCCTTTACCGAGACCGAGGCGAGCTTGTCCTCGACCTCGGCCAGCCAGTTGAGCACTTCCACCTCCTCCTCCCCAAAGAGCCTGGCGTTGGCGAGCGCCTGCCGGAGCAGCGCGGCTTTGCGGGCGGCGCGCGCGCGGCTCTCGCCGTGGCGGCCCCGCAGCGCCTCGAGCCGCTCGGCCAGCAGCCGCTGCTCGGCGGCGCAGCTCAGCGAGGCCAGCCGCTGCCCCACGGCCACGGCGCGCTCCACCGCGGCCGCCTGCCTCGCCACGTCGTCCTCCAGGGCCTGGGAAGCCGGCGGGGGGTGGGTGGGATGGACAACAGAAACAACAGAAACAACGGGAAAAGAAAATAATGAAAATGAGTGGAAATAACGGAGGAACGAAAGGAAACGGGAGATGGGTCGAAATAAGGGAGCGGAAATGGTGAACGCAAGTGAACGGGATGAAGGAGACACCGTGAATGTGCAAAAAGTACACCAAAATAAAGGAAAAACTACATGGGACATAAACAGGAATGGCTTTTCCATCCGGATCTGGTTGCTTGTCTTGCAAGATGCAAAGGGAGCACTTAAATACCTCATATCAGGGCTAATACCAAAGAGGGAGTTGGGGTTTGCAGCCTTCTCCCGGTATAATGCAGCCTGGAAAACCTCTCTGATGACCAAGGGAGATAAAAACCGCTTTGCCCAGTGGCCGTGTCCACCAGGAGAAGCGACCCCTCCAGCAGCTGCTCTCCTACCTTGTGGCGACTGATCTGCTGTTGGATTTTGGCCGTCTGGGTGCCAATGGGCTCGGAGTTGGCCAGCTTCTTCTCTGTCACCGAGAGCCAGTCCGAAATGGGCTCCGTGGTTTCATGGAATTGCTTGGCCAGGACCAGGATGTCTTCCAGCTGTTTCTGCCTACATCGGGAGGGCGAGAAAGCGGTTCAGGAGGAGTGACCCTTTTGGAGGCGGCCAGGAGGAGCAGCTCCGAGCTACCCCAGCGCCCCGCAGACGCCACGGCTTGCAAGTGCTTTTGTTCTCATTGCTTTCATGGAAGCAGAAGTTGGAGCAGAAACCTGTGGAATTCCAAGCCACGGAAAGAGGGAGCAGCAGCGGCTCTGGGGAGCGCAAGGTGAGGCATCCTGTCAGGAGAGCAGCAGATCCTGCCCCAAAAAAGCGGCGCAGAGAAGCTGCCGCGTAAGCGTTTTCCTGCAGCTGCTCCTGCAGGGTCCGGCCCGGCTCCCGCCTATGGCGACAGAAAGGTCCCTTTGTGCCACTCGGCTTCCAACATCACCCCCTTAGAGCTTCTCAGCTGCCAGCGGGACCTGGATGATTCCCAGCTCCCGCCCCAGGACGCCTGGGCCCCGGAGAGCCCCTCTCCTCCGCAAGCATTGAAAGCACCGGGAGGTCAATCCGGCCCTTGCAAGCGATTCCGATCCCGACATCTTAGCTTATGTAGCAACTTGTAAATGAGATTCAGGCAGCAGAGGTGTCAACAGGATGTTCCCACTACAGCTAAACGTTAAAAGCCAAGAGGAATAAAAATAACACCCATCCTCGGAAGGGAATTTGTTGAATGCGAGCTCTTCCCCAGCACCGTGCACTGCTGCTCTCTGCTTCGCCCCCCTGAAGCTTGGATTTCTCATGTTTTCCAGCTGTGGTTTCCAGGATGTGACTGGGAAGAAGTCCCTGCGTGCCTTCCACGTGTTGTTATCCCACGATCGTGGGTTAACACCTGGGGCAAACGCAACGGTGCCGCTGCCGGGGTTAGGAACCGGGCTCCAGCCTCGCCAGCGGGCAAATACCAAAGAGGGGAGCAGAAACAGCAGGGGTTTGGTCACAAATTAGCTTTCCTCTACTGGACAAAAATAACCACGCTCTGTAAAGCTGTGGGGCACTGTGAAGCAGAGGGCAGGCTGTCCCTGCCCTTCGTTTTGTCCCTCAAGGCTCGTGGTTGCCCCTTTCGGCCAGCCAACCTGTCCGTAAGTAATCCTGCTGGGAACAGGCTGGAGCAGGAATGTGGTGAACGTCTCAGCGGGCACCTGAGCTCCAGACTCAAATATTGCAGCTTGGATGTCAGGAAAAAGCAGGGCAGTTTGCAAGAGATGAGCCGGGATCCACAAAGTGCAAGGAGTGAAACACTCCTGGCAGCAGCAGCCGGGCGCAGGGGAAAGCCGAGGGGTCTTTGCCCTGCTCCTACCTGCCGGATGCCCTGCTGAGCAGCCCAGCCCAGCGCTTTTCCAGGCTCTCCAGCTGGCAGAGGATCTTCTCCCTGTCTGCCGGTTCGGCTGACTGCGCTATCCTCCCACCCTCGGCCTGGATCATCTCCACCGTGGCCTTGCGATCGTCCAGGAGCCGCTGGAGCAGCTGGAAAGCAAAGGAGGGGAAACGTTATTGAACGGAGCCAGCAGAACGATTCCCCCACCAAATTTCCATGTGAAAAGCATCAAAATGCACCAAGGCCGGAGCTGGCTAAGCAGGATACCCTCACCGGCTACCTCCTGCACCACCAAAATTGCCTCAAAAAAGATTCAAAGCACTTCTCGTTCCAGAAAAGTTTCCTGAGGCTTCCCCATCACCCTCTCAAAATCTATCACAAACAGATTTTTCTCTTTTGCTTTAAATTCCCACTGCAAAGTCTCAGCAGACTAAGCCTCTTTTTTTTTACAGACTTATTTTTAAGTGTTTTACCATGGCAATACTTGCATTTTCATCTGCATGTTGAGGAGAGCGAGCGCTGACCCAGGCTTGTTATGTTCATAAACACGAGTGTGCACTGAGTCAGTTCTTAGGGTTTGTGTACTCATTCTGTCCAAATACCCCAACTGGTAACTATAACACCAGCTCGCTCTTGACCTGACACAATCATCAGCGCAAACAAAACCAAGTCTGGCACTGGAAAAACACGGACAACTGGCAAAAACCAGTTGCAGACTTCCAGGGACGGCGTGACAGTCACGCTGGTGATTTTGACTGTGGAAACGGCCGGTTTGGGCAAAGAAGTTGGCAATGCCGGGATGGCGGGAGCCTGCAGGACGGCCCGTTGGGATGGCAGCGGCTTGTGGACATCCCAGTTATGCCTCACGTGCTACCGCTGGACCCAGTTCCTGCCTGGTTTTCTGGAGCCCCTGCTCCACGGATGGCCACGCAAGGGCGTGCGGCGCTTCCTTACCTTCTGCTCCTGGATCTGGGCTTTCACCACCTTGTACTCGGCCGAGGGGGGTTTCTGGTTGGAGATGAGCTCCTCGGTGTCCGCCAGCCAGCTCAGCAAGGGCTCCAGGGCATCCTGGAACTTGCCGCAGTGCAACAGGGCCTCCTGGAGCTGCGCAGTCCTCTGGGCCACCTGCACAGCACCGAGCACCATGAGGGCGGCTCATCCCGGCTCCATGCTCCCGTCTCCCGCGGGATCCCACCGAGGACCCCCGCCACCAGCTGCACCCGCTCGCCGAGCGCCCACCTTTTTGTTGAGGGTGTTCCAGCGGCTGTTGATGTCCTCCATGTCATGTTCCAGCCCTTGCACATCGCAGTTTTTGCCTGCACTTTGGATGAGCCCTTGAGCAACTCCATTCACTTGCTTCAGTTTCAACTGGAGAAGATCCACTTGTTCCTTCTGGAACGTCTGCGAAGGGAAAGGTGGGAGAGAAAACCCATTTATGACTTGCGAGCTGCTCTTCAGCCCCCTGACTCCATCGTGCAGTAGATGCATCAGGTTTTCTTCTCCAGGGAAGATGCAGCATTACGGAACGGAACTGGGGAAGCGCCGGCCTTGGCTTGACGCAGCAACATGTACATGCAACCTACTCTGCTTTCCAAGAGGAAAATCCTCCTTTCCAAAAGCCTAGTCCCAGGGTAAGGCACAGACAGCTTAGAGCACAGGCTGTGGTAAGCCAGCTGGTTTGGAAATACTGCATTCCCGGGGAAAATCCTGAGGGATTCTGGCAACGATGCTGCCCAGAAGCAACACCCGACTCCCAGGAAAGTTGTGCTATCCGCTGAACCGAGCGGCGCTGGGAACCGGGTCGTGTCTCGGAGCACAAAGGCAACAGGCAACGAATGTGCAAGTCATTTATCGCGCCACATATTTGGCACGATCCCGCCTGGGAATCCGGCGGGGAAAAAGCTTTTAAAAACAAAAAGATGGGCTGGGGAAGGGGGAGGAGAGCAGATGAAGTGCGCATGAAGCGCGCCATTGTACGGAGAGCGAGCCGGGAAGCGCCGGCTTCCACCCCCCAGATAAGGGCTCTTTATCAGGGCTTCGCATCGGCTGGAATTACCCACCGAGGCGGCAGCTGGGGCCGTTTCCGTCCCGGCCGCGGTGGAGCCCGCCCGTCCCGCGCCGGGAAAGCGGCTTTCCCAGAAGGAACGCTGCCATCCCCAAAAAAGGGAGTGGATTCGCTCCGTGTTTATTCTGGGGCCTCGGACTAGGAGCTAACGGGCAGTGCCGGGCAGCCTGGAGCGCCGCTGCAGGGGACTCCGGTGCTCATCCCGCCTGCTACGTTTTCCCCCTTGGAAAAGCAGGGAGGGCTGGAATTCAGGGGCCGCTTGCTCCGGCGGCCTCCAGAACGAGAGGGATGGGGTCAAAATCTCAAAAACCCAACTCCCATCAATGCACACTGCAAGATGCAAAATTCCCCCCGCTCGGCACCGCGAGCAGACGCTGTCCAGAGGCGCCTGCTTAGGAGAGCGGCGCTAYGGTCACAAGAAGTAAACGGTGCCATGAAGTCTCCAGCTCCCCAGACGCTTCTCCTGCTCCTGCTCATACACGGAGCTGCAGCGGCCACAGAGGCCCTGCTCCGGCGCCGCGCGTTTCGTTCATTCCCCTCCCTGTGACTCAGCTCCGCAGCGAATTCCCATCGCACGGAAGAGCGCGCGGGATGAGGCGGCTGCACGGACATCTTGGGGACAGGAGTGCGCCTGCTGCACAGCACCCGCTCCTCCTCATCCTCCTCCTCCTCATCCTCACTTGAGACGAGCGCCCGCCCACCCCTCCACGCGCTGCTTCGCTCGGCCCCCCGCGCGGCTTCATCCCACAATCCCGGCTGCATCCTGCAATCCCAACTGTGGCCTGGCCGTGGGCAGCGGCAACGCTGAGCATCCCTCGGGCAACGAGGGCATTCCCGGAGCACGCAGGAAGCATCCCATAACCTAACACATCCCATAACCTAACACATCTTGCCCTGGGGAGCAGTGGGAGCCCGAGCGCTCCCGAGTGAATCCCAAAGCAGCAGGGGGAATCGAGCCCTTTCCCGGGTGGGTCCGGTGCTGGGATGCTCTCCTGCACATCTCCAAATCCCGCGCCGAGCACTACGGAGCGCTATTCCCTCCATGGGCCGCTGCCTCTAAGCGCCTTTTCCTCTCTGAATGCGGCAAGCGGCTCCCCAACCTGCGCTGGCCAAGAAAACTTGCCAGCAAAATCCGCAATTCGTGTCCGAGCGAACGCAAGGCACTTCCATAAGCCCCCAAGAAAGCCTGGGATGAGAGCTGAGGGAGCGAGGCGGCTCCGACGGCCGCCTCCGAACCTGCACGTGGGCTGCCAAGGGGGCCAGGGGGAAAAGGGGCCTCTCGAGTCCCCTGCAGCGGGCAGAGAGCCGCCCCCCTGGGCCCAAACACGGCGGGTCTGCGCCCAAAACGCGGCCCGCGAGGGCCCGCAGCACAAATACCTCGTTATCGGCAAGGGGTTCGGCTGCGGGAGCCTCGCCGGCGGCCGGCGGGGACGCGGCGCCGCGGCCTGGAGCGTGGAAAGGACCCGGCTCCGCAGCGGCTCCCGGCTCCGCGGGTCCCTCCGCACCAAGTGCTCCGGGAGTCTCCGTCGGAGCCGGCGCTTCCTCGGGATGCTCTGGTGTGTGGGGTAGCGTGGCACCCCCAGCATCCCTGGCCGTGCCCTCCGATGTCCTTCCCGGCATCCCCGCGGCCGGCAGCGCGGGGAACACCAGGGCACCCTCCGGCACCTGAATGCCGGACACGGCGGTCGCGAGCTCGTCGGCAAACGGCGCCGGAGCTTCCAGAGGTTCTTCCAGCACCATGGCATCCACAGCAGCATCAGGTGGCAGGCACCAAGCGTGCAGCTCTTGGGCAGCTCCGGTAGCATCTCCAGCGGCCGGATGGAATTCCCAAGCGCAGGGCTCCAAGGCTGCCAGATCATCTGTGTGGAGCAGGAGAGCAGCGGCTGCCGGTGCCGCATGGAACCTGTCCCCGGGATCCGGGCTGGCCGTGCGGGGCGACGGGGGTCCCGCATGCTCCGCGGCCACCTCTCCGTCCTCGCAGGCACCGGCGAACAGGGCGAACAGCAAGTCCAGGTCTCCCGGCTGCAGGACGCCTGCTTCCGCCTCCGGAGCCCGGGCTGTGCTCCGGGGGGACCCGCTAGTGCCGGCGGCCGACGCCGGGATCTCCTCCGGGAGAAGGGTCTCTGGCGCGAGGCCCTCGGCAGCCGCTGGCTCCTCGGAGCCCTGCTCCGATGCGGAGCCGGCAGGGAAAGAGGCCGAGGAGCTGCAGGGAGAGGCTGCATGCTGCACTGGATGGCTGCGGCCCTCCGAGCCGTCGCTCTCCCGCTCCAAATCCGTGAGCTCATCCTCAGAGAGCAGCTCCGGGATGTCCCAGTTCGTGAGCTCAGTCCTTTCGGACGGCAGCGGGTCCAGCCTCCCAGGGACATCGGACACCTCCGTCCCCTCCACGTCCTTAAGCAAAGCGCAGTCCTGGGGCGAGCCGGGCTCCTCGGCCAGGCGCGCGCTCCCCGGCCACGTCTCCGCAGAGGGCTCTGCCCCTGCGCTGCCCGACACATCCTGACAATCATCACTTCCAAGCATGGAAATATCCAAGTGGGAAATCATCCCCTCCAGGCCCCAAATCTGGCTCTCATCCCCCTCGGGAGATGCCGGCGCCCTGCAAGGCGCCGGTCCCGCTCCGGCGCATGCAGCCCATGGCTCCCCATCCAGCAGCGGCCCCCGGGCCTCCTCCGTCGCCGGCGCGCGTGGCGGCAACGTCGGCCCCACCGCGGCAGCGGCGCCGGGCGAGACGGCGCCATCCGAGTCCGTCGCGGTGATGGCCGAGGTCTCCCTTTCCGAGTACGGCTCCGTAGCAGGCTCCGCCGCGCTCGTGCCTTGCGAGCTGCACGTGGCGTCCAAGTCCTCCAGGTCGGACACGACGGCCGAGTCGGAAGCGCTGCCCTCCAAGGCGGCCACGTGCTCTCGAGCCGCTGTCGCATCCACGGCAAGTTTTCCCGAGTCCGCATGTGGGTCGGGACCTTCCGGGTCTACCAGCGAGATGCAACCTTGCAGCTCAAGCGAGACAGCCCCGTCAGCCTCCTCTTCGTCAAGGCACTGCTGCTCAAGCTCCAGGAACATCTGCACCGAGTCCGTGTCGGAGAGTGGCTCCGGGCCGAGGGGGCTGCCGGAGCGCTCCCAACTCGGGCCCAAGTCCTCGGCTTCGCACTGCACCGCCGCGTCCTCGGTGCTGCGCCGGGCGCCGGCTGCCCCCGCCGGCTCGCATGGCTCCGACGTCCCTGCGCCCGGCGGCGTCCACGGGCCGGGGGCGGCAGCGGGGTCTGCAGCAGGGAACTGCTCCCGTTCCTCCGAAATATCTGCCAAGCAACAGCTCTTCCTCTCCTCTGCCAGCGGAACAGTCTTTCCCCTCTCCGACAGCGTCGCCTCCTCCCACTCCTCCATCATCACCCATCGCTCGTCCTCCTCAAATCTCAGCTCCGACTCCGTTTTCTCTCTGAGATTGGAGGTGAGGAGGATGTTGAGTCCCGCATCCAGCAGCTCCTCGCTCAGGCACGGCGAGAGGTTGACGTTCTCCACCACGCAATCCGCTTCCGAGGCCTCCAGCGTCTCTTGGTGCCCATCGTTCAGGCTGCCCCTGACCAGGTTCTTCCTAGCGCGCGGCCAGGTGGCACTCGGAAGCCTGCGGCCCCGGGAGAAGTCCCTGCCGGGAAGGGGGAGATCTTCGGGATTGAGGAGGGGCTGGCATTCCTCCTGGGAATACTCATAGCAGTCCTCGCTTAAGTGCTTGGCCGGCAGCGCGTCCGCAGCGCCGGCAGCTTTGGAGACGTGCTCCAAAGTTAGGGACTCGGACATGGGCTCCCCGTGGTCGGAGCGCCCGGAGCCCTCGGCTAACATGGCACTGGACTCCCGCTTTTCCTGAAGGGAGGGATTTGAGGCACCGGCTTCTGAGACTTCGCTCAGGGAGGCCTCTATCCGTTCCGCAAACTCGGGGAAATTGGGGGGCATGAAGGACTTCCAGGAGCGCCTGTTGACATTCTCCTTCCGCTCAGGATTCGGCCGTCTCCTGGGCGGAGCCGGCGCCGACTTGGAGACGTCGCTGCTGAGTTTCAGCGCGTCGAAAATGACCCTTTCGTCCAACTTCTTGGCCTCAGGCGGCCTCGACTCGAACACGTTGGAGGCTCCCAGCGTCCCGTTGCTGGATATGGTGCTGCCGTCCGCCTTCTCCAAAGTGCTCTTGGAAGGCTGGCTGAGCTTGGAGCCCTGGTCGATCTGCTCGTTGATCCTCATGGTGTCGTAGATGGAGCGCTGGGGCACGTAGCAGTCCTCGATATAACCGTCCTCATCGTCGCCCTTGCCCAGGCACGCGGGGTTCTGCCGCAGACAGTCCGGCCTGCTGAGC